TAAGCTAGAAAGACATGCTCAAACATGAAGTATATAAGACTAGTTTGTGTAATTTACACTACAACTGTATTAGGCATGCATGGAGTGACAAAACCAAGCAAAAATAGTGTTGTATCATGGCAAAACAAAGCCTAATACATACTGAAATGAAGCTAAAACAAGCTAAGCAAACATGCTACCAATATAAGCCATTTATACTGGCATACAAGGTAGCAAGGAGAGGGGATGACCCTCTCCTATTTAAGACCTCAAAAATACCTTTCCACCACTGAAAATCCTCTGGATTTCAGTAGTAGAAAGGTCATGCAAAGACAAGAACAAAGGCCAAAAGGGATGGCTCCAAACAAGGCCTAACAAGGCCTAAGAAGGGGTAAACAACCCCAAACCAAAAAGTGATCTTAAACAAAGATCTAAAGCATCAAAAATTAGAACTTTTATCAGTTAAGAGTTAAGCTTAAAACAATAAGAAAGAAGGGCTAAAAGCTTGAGCCAAAATGGGGTATCTAAAGGTTAGTTACTCACCCTTGTAGAAACTCTTCAAGAACAAAGCTCCAGCAGCTTTCTCTGACTAAAGCCAGCTCAAGAACTCTGAAATCAATCTCAAGGGACCTCAGCTCCAAGAGAATGGTGTTCTAGTGTGTGTTTGTGTACAATAGTAAGACAAAATGACACTTTTGAACACAAAATAAGAACAAACAAGAGAATATAGATACAAAACTATATGTATAACTCAACCCTAAATTTTCTGAACCCCTGAGAAGGGAGGAGGAGCTCCCTTCTTATAGAATTCAATTCCAAAGCTTCTTGGAGAAGCTAAGCCAAAGGGGCAAATCCCTCCATACACGTGTATGGAGGGTGTGAATTGTGCATGCCAGCTATGATAGCTGGCATAAAATACCTGCAAAAAGCAGATGAACAGGGTTCGGCCAAAAAGTATGGCTGATCGACCAACATAAGGGCCGACCAACCAAAAAAAGTGCCGATCGGCCAACACTTTTGGCCGATGGCAAGAAAACAAGGCCGATGGCTTCATGCCTTGGCCAATGGGTTGAGGGGATGGTCAACAAACCACCCTCTTCCCTCAGAAGCAAAAACACAAGTGCTTGGTCCACAACCAAGCACAAAACAGACAAGTTGAGAGATCTTGAGGTAAGGCGCGCGACCGAAACCTCCGGGAACTCAAAACGAACACGAATATGGATGATCATCGAGTGTTCAAACGATGACGCCCAGGTCTTGAGGACTGTCAAAAATGGGGTGTCTACAACCAGCTTACCAATAATGATAAGCTGAACTCCCTATTCACGAATGAAGGGGATTGGGACTTGACTTTGTTGAATAATCCGCCTCTGTTTAGCCTTTTGGGTATTCAAACCATTCCCCCTCCAAGAGCTAACCCTGTTCTTGATGTCCCTATCTGGAGAGGAAGCTTGGATGGGGAGTTCTCTTTAGCTGATGCTTATGACCATATCAGTGATCAACCTAGTCATGAGGTGGATTGGCATTAGATGTGGAAATTTAAAATCCCTCAAAAACTTAAGAGTTTCTTATGGATTGTGTTCTATGGGAAACTCCTCACTAATAGCTTGCGTATGAAAAGGGGTTTAACTAATGTCTCTTCTTGTTTTAGTTGTTTGGAAATGGAAGATATGAATCATATTTTCAGGGTTTGTCCGAAAGCTGTTGTTATTTGGTCCTCTCTCTTTGGAAGGGAGTGGTATAGAGATACCTAGAACACACCTTTGCTGGAATGGATAAAATTTAACTTAAAAAAAGGGCCACTGCTTATGAGCATATCTCCTCGAGTACCTTGTTTGCTGTTTCTCTTTGAAAGATTTGGAAAAACCGCAACACCAAATGGTTTGAAAACAGAGATATTCCTACACAAGAGAGCTTGAAATTTATATTTGATTTTTCTAGAGATATTCACTTGGCATTTTCTATTCCTTTTATTTACCCCAAGTTGTCACCCCAACTAATTATATGGTTCCCCCATTTTGCAGGTTTTATTAAGTTGAATGTCAGGATATGCTGGGTTTGGTGGGTTGTTCCAAGATGAAGCAGGAAGCTAGATAAGCGGGTATTGTGGCAGATTAGAAAACTGCTCAAGTTTGGAAGCAGAGCTTTGGGCAGTGTACAAGGGTTGACCATTCTTCTCCAAAGGGGAATGACTAAGGTAATTATGGAGACGGATGCTACACAAGTTGTTAAGTTGTTGGAAGATGGCTCGAGTGGAGACTGCCCTTTTCGAGGCTTGATAGAAGACATAAGGATCATCTTGAGAGGATGTGAATGCACAATCCAACATGTCTTGCGCGAGGGGAATTCCTGTGCTAATGATATGGCGAAGCTTGGTGTGGAGCAACCTGTGGAGCTCTTGGCGGTGAACGATCCCCCAGTAGAAGTGTACAGCCTCTTGGTGGCTGATATGTTAGGTTTATCTAGGGAGAGGGTGTAGCCCCTTTTGTTTATTTTTTTATTTCCGTTGTACCCCCCAAAAAAAAAAGAACGTAACAGTGTCGTTGTATAAATACATAAAGAAGATTGAATATGGCAGTAGTCTGATGACTCTGATGACCAGTTTTTGACCTGGTCAAAATAATACTAGTCTAATGCAAATATTAATAAAATAAAATAAGAAAAATTACATGCGGATGAGAGGAAAAAAAAATAAATTTATCAACAAATGAGGGATGCAAGTAACACTTACACCCCTATAGTCTTTTATATTTATGCCATTTTTTTCACTCTTTTCCACCTACATATAATTCTTCCATAAAATAAAACTGAAGTCAGAAACCTGAAAAACATATGTACAGCCATTTCTCTTACCAAAGTACTCTGTTTAATATTTCAGTAATGCTATGGAATATAAAAATTCAAAAATTATTTAGAATTTTATATTAATGACTCAAATTTATTTTATGTAACCTTCACATTTTATTAATTTAATTTTTATCATATATACCTATTTCTGAGTCTTAAATTATGAGACCCTAACGTTTTTTTTTTGTTTTTTTTTTTATTTTTTTGTATATTTATCATTTCCATCATTGTAACTTGTAAGATGATCAGAATTTCCCAAAGGCATTTTTTTTTATAGGAGTAAGACGATTTGGGATTCTCTATACATTACAATAAAATGCACTTTTGGCGACTAAAATTGACGATTAAAAAAATTTAGTCGTCAAAAGTTGTGGAATTGGCGATTAAAAAATTTTTTAGTCAGCAAGAGTACAATATTTAGCTACTAAATTTTGTTAGTCGGGGTACATTGATTATTGGTGACTAAAAAAAAATTAGTCACTAAAAATGCCACAACTAGCGACCAAAAAGATTTTTAGTCACTATATAGGTAGTTTTGGCTACTAAAATAATTTAGTCGTTGAATGAAAAACAAAATTTACTTTTTTATGTTTGGAGACCGAACTTTTGGTTGCCAAAAATTTATATTCAGCGACAAAATTTTTTTTAGTTGCTATATAGTTAGTTTTGGCTACTAAAATTATTTAGTCGCCAAATAAAAAATAAAAATTTATTTTTTTTATCTTTTAGCGATTAAAAATTTTTTTAGTCGCCAAAGAACTAAAATGTTTAGAGGGAGACATTTGAAATTTTGGAGGGATTTATAAAATTAATTGGCGACCAAAAATGTATAGTCGCCAAATTACTACTTTTAGCGACCAAAAAAATATTGAGTCGCTGTTAATTAAGGTTTTGGCTACTAAAAAAAAATGTAGTTGTTGTTTGTTATTTTTGTTACCCAAAAGACAACCTAAGAGGGGGGGTGAATTAGGTTTTTACAATTAAAATTAATAATACCCTAATAAAAATTATGACTAGCACAATAGATAAATATAATTATTGAAATAAAAATAATTAAAACAAGTATCTTAACAACTATGTCAGTTAATGATTTTAACACAATAAAAATGTGAAATATAGCTATGGAAATTTAAATAAAATAAAGAGATAAGGGAGAGAGAGGCAAACAAATTTATAATGGTTCGGTTTCAACTCGGCCTACGTCCACTCCTCAAGCTTCACTTGAGATTTTTCACTGTCTTCTAGCTTCACAAGGGTGCTAGCAACCTCTTTACAAATGGAGCAATCCTCCACGGATTTCACAGAGACTCCACAATCCCAAACCGTTGCAAATCTTAGGTGATTCACAAGCACTCTCAAGATTTCAAGAACATAGTGTTTGCAACACTTTTACAAGATAAAATGGTATTTTTGCTTTCAAAGAAAGCTTACAATAAATATCTCTCAAAGATAGATATATAAAATAAAGCTTTGATTTTTCTGTAAATCTCACACAGGAAAGATGAGCTTAAAGCTGTAAGGCTCAGTGTATAATTTCTGAGAATAGATGTGAGTGATTAGATTAAAGAATATTTGCAGGTTTTTTTTTGTAATTTGTTTACATTAGAGACTTTGGTATATATAATGAAAATTATAGCCGTATATAGCTGTTGTATTCATCTGAATTTATAGCCGTTGTAGTCATTTGAAATTATAGCCGTTTATAGCTGTTGTACTTCCATCATTACCAATTTGAATATCTTCCACTCCATCATTACAAATTTGAATATCTTCCACTTGAACCTTTTGAACCTTTTGGCCTGCTGGTGTGCTAGGCTATTTGAACCTTTATTTTGGGCTGTTTGAACTCCAGATTTAATCAAATATTAAATACATTCTAACAACATTTAGGATAAAGGTTTAGGTGAGAAATAATAGGACAAAATAAATTTTGATTCTTTTTTTCTCTTTCAAATAAATCATCAAAATAAATTTTGATTTTATTTTTCTCTTTCAAATAAATCATCAAAATAAATTTTGATTAAAATATAATTAAATAAATCATCAAAATAAATTTTGAATTCTATTTTTCTCTTTCAAATAAATTAAAACATAATTAAATAAATCATCAAAATAAATACGTCGAACAATTTTTTGTTATTTATTTTCCCGTTTTCCTTATATTTGCCCTAGCCCTTCACAAACTGATTGTTTCTTGCTGTCTCTGTCTCTCTTTCTCGGTCTTGCGTTCCGGCGATTGACCCTAGCTCCACCAAGACCGACCTTCAGGCTGAGCTAGATCAAGCCTGCAAAGATTGAGGTGCGTTTCACATGACGAACCATGGTGTTTCGATCCAATTGTTGAACGAGATGAGGAGAGTCGGTGTGTTGTTCTTCGAGGAGAGTCCAATGGCTAAGAAAATCAGGTACTCTTGCGATTCCAATTCGTTTGCTTCTGAAGGCTATGGAAGCCGTATGTTGGTTTTATCTGATGATACAGTGTTGGAATGGACAAATTAGTTCGATCATCATACTTCGCCTCTTTCTCACCGGAATCTTGATCGCTGGCCTCACTTTCCTTCTAATTATAGGTATGTTCTCGGCCTCTTGCCCTAGATCTTCTCGTTCATGTTAGTTAATTTGCTTTCACTATTGTGTTTGGTTGTTGAGAAAATGAACAAAGGAAAAGAAAATTCCAAATCCAATGTGATTTTTTGTTCTTTTTCCCCCAATAGGCATTCTGTAAAAGCTAAAAAATAACAAGTATAATTAAAATTAAAATCGATTCAAAAATCACTTCCAAGTTCTTACTCAAAATACTTGTATGTAGAGTTGTCTACTAAAGTTGAATTTTTTCAAATCATATTTCCCAAAAACTTGTTTTGAAATAAATTTTCAATGAAGGGCATGTTTTTTGTAAATCACCAAATATTAATTCTCTCCCTTATCACTACTAGGTGCTGCTGGTGGAAGGAACGTAAATGGAGTGTCTACAGGCATGTTTTTTGTAAATCACCAAATATTAATTCTCTCCCTTATCACTACTAGGTGCTGCTGGTGGAAGGAACGTGAGTGCTCGTAAGGAAAATGGCTGCTAGTGGGGAGAGACATTGTTTTCTGCATTAAGCAGAGCAGGTGGCAAGGCTTTCAGTAACATGGTTGTTGGATACAACAATGTTAATGTCAATGCTGCCACTAAGTATGGTGTTGCTGTTGGCAACACACTTGTATGTTCATTTCCCTTTGATGTGTGTTTGTGTTTGTGTTTTTGGTGTTTTGTACCGGGTATACCAATATTGCACATGTTATGCTTGATAAAATGTTCAAGAGAGAGTGAGTTCTATGTTTGTAGATATACAATTCATTTTTTTTTACATGAATTGGTTCGTATCCTTTTATAGATTTGTCAAGAACTTACTTAAAGGGCAAACTGTTGGCGTGATTGGAGCTGGTCGAATTGCATTATCTTGCAAAAGAGAAAGAGGATTCTCTTGCAGTGGATTCTCTCTGCAGCAACTTTAGCTTCTTTCTGAATATTTTAATTTGGCAACTTAAAGTACTTGTAATTTGATTGATTGATTGATATTTTAGTCAAATTGAGAGTCGTGTTTGAATAGCTGAGTTCATGGGAGTGAGTAATTTAATTTGGACAAGGAATTTATATCTTCTTGCAGGTTAAACTTGGTGGTCATGCAACCTTGGCAGCTGCACACTTTCAATTCACTTCTGGTTTGGTAAATGCCGATAAATTGAGTTTCTGACACTATCGGGAGTTTTGACTGCTAAAAGAGTTCCAGAAGCCCAAAAAAAGGGCAAATAAGAAGATTGCTATTTAATTGAGTTGGATTTTCTAGTAGTTCCACTTACTCAATTTGACTCTGTTGAGGTTCCATCTATTTCTAAAGCATTGAGTGGTGCTTTTGTGATTGAATTAAAGAAGACAACTACTGCAGAAGATCTCTTTGTATGCATTCTTTACTTATTTATTATTATTCATAGTTATGCAACTTTCTATTTTTTGAAGTAAATGATTGAATCCAAGAGAAAAAAACTATAAATGAAAGATGATTGCTCCATTGTAAAATTAAATGGTGGGAGTAATTTGATTTCTAATTTGGGAAAAAGGGAAGTTAACCTAAACTGATATATGGATATTCATTTTGTACTTGCATTTTGGCAGGTGATGCTCCCATCGGGAAAGGCTGTTGCAGATCTACAGCCAGAATTTGATGAAATACAGCAATGTCCTAGAAGGGGATTAATTATTATAGCGCTTGCAAAAGAAAAAGATCTGGGTTTGACTTTTTTAGCCGCTTCTTTTGTCCAAAATTGGGGGTTAATGAGGTAATATATCAGCATTTGGTTCCAACCCAAACTACCTCATGATTTAAACCAGTTTCTTTCATATTTCTAGGTGTATTTTGATTAATTGGGAAAACATTGTTTATTATATGTAAAAGAACAATTCAGACATATTAACTAGTCATGATTTGAAATGAAATTGCCAACACAAAAATGATACGAGACTACATTTTACCTCGCACTGTACATTGTCTTAAGTGTCGGATTTTCCACTATAGCACTATAGAAAAGCTCCATATCTTGACTATTTGGTAGGCTTCTCAATCTCTATTTCTAAAAATGTTTTGAGAGATAATTACCACCCAAACAAAAGGCTAATGCATAACATATTTTTGGCATAATCCTCCTTTGGTGGATTACTAATTGTGATACTCAAAATATAAAGAACTTACATTCAAAACCCATATACTCCATCATTTGGATTCTCTTGCAAAAGAAAATTTTGGAAACATTGCATGTAATTGTTAAACTAGAGTTTACTAGGCAGGCATGAGGTTCAATTTGGAGGTTGTATAAATTTTCAACAAAACGAAAACGTTAAAATGATCTTGATGGGATTATATGCAGAGTATAATATATGTAAATTATTAATTTTAATTTTATAACCGTTATAATCTGCAGAGTATAATATATCTAAATTATTAATTTTATAACTGTTATAATTTAAAACGTCAATTTTATTGAATAAGTGTTAATGGTTAATTCCCCCCCCACCCCTTTTTTTACAGATTGTTTTTGTGTGCGCTATTATGGATGTGTACAAAGAGCATGTGTTTTGTATATGGAAGACATTTATTTTGGAACAATCCTCTGTTTTGGAAATCCAGTATGTCATATTTAATTTAGATGTACTATTTAATTTAGATGGATTATACTTGGTTTGTATGGATTTATATGATATTTGGAATATGATGTTACAAGTTAAAGTTTTTGAATAGTTGATAATGAAATGGGTATTATTGATAATGGATTTAGATTACAATTGATAGATGTATTATTCTGTATACGTACATGTTACAAGTTGAATTGATAATGAAATGCATATAATTTAGAAATTAATGAAAAACATTCAATTTGTACATTTTAAAAAAATTAATAAATAGAGCTTGAGCTTTTGGCGACTAAACATTTAGTAGCCAAAAAATAAAAAAGGAATTTATTGGCGACTAAATAGTTAGTAGCCAAAAAAAATTAAAGTGTTTGGTGACTAAAAGATTGGTAGCCAAAAAGAAAGATTGGTAGCCAAAAAGGAGTGTCGCTTTTTTAGCAACTAAAAAATTGGTAGCTTAAAAATTGAAGATGGAAAATATTTTCTTTCTGGCGACTAAATATTTTCTTTTGGGAGACTAAATTTTTAGTTGTCGATTGGTGACTTTCGGTGACTAAAAAAAAATTAGTCACCAATACCTTTTCCGACAATCATCTAGCGACAAACCTGGCGACTAAAAAATTTAGTCGGCAAAAATCTTCGGCCACTAAAAAATGACTTTTGGTGACTAAAAATTTAGTCACCAAAAGTATAATTTGCTGTAGTGATAATTCTTCCCTGCAGTGCCATATAGTACCTAAAAAATAAGGGATAATTACATTTTACTCCCTTGTGGTTTCACGCGTTTTCACATTACTTTCCTGACGTTGATAAATATATTCATAAATCTTCTATGGTTTTGACTAAAGTGCAAAAGTGATGGAATCTGGTAGACTTAATATTGCACGGGATAGACGCGCCAAAGAAGCGTGTCCGAACTAAAATTAAGGATTTTGACACTAAATTTAGAGTTTTGAGTGTTTTGGTGGATTGGAGTTGTTTATTTAGTCTATATAGTCCATAATTTAAACTTAGTAAACTAACACTCTATATTAAATATATATACACACACATAGATATGCGTATGGATGCAGAGCATTTGCTTTGAATAGTGGGAAAAATTACCAATGATATGAAGAGGAATGCATTGAATTGCTTGGCGAGAATGTGAGAGAGAGAGAGAGAGAGAGAGAGAGCTCACTATGCATCGAATAAACGATTTGCAGCAGAAAAAAGGATTTGGGGAGTGGATTATGATGAGTGTCGTGGTGGGCTACAAGACTTGTATGACTAGTTACTTCTATCTTTCTCACTTCTTCATAAACAACTTGCCCCCTTTTGTCTTTTCAACTCCAATCTTCTTCACTTTTTTTTTTTCTTTTTCTCTCCTAGTTTCTTTGTCCATTATTTGAAAATGGGATCCAAATCATAGATTTTTCACTTATGTGTCTTCGACATTGAATTAATTTAACCTTCCAAAGAGTTTTTTTTCCCCCCGATTCTGTGAAGTGGGTTTTTGAGATCGAACTTTAAAAATGGCACCATCGTTCGACTGGTGGTCGAAAAAGACCCACGGAGGTACACCAATGGTGGTGAAGATGGATAATCCCAACAACTGGTCCATGGTTGAGCTCCTATCCCCTTCCGACGACGACGACGACGACAACGATGACGACGACGACGACGATGACGACGACGGTTTCCTCCTCCATTTCGCCGATGCTACGGGCCGAGACAAAGCCCACAACAAGAATGCCAAACAAGGCTGAGATTGCTGCGTATTTCAAGGGTTGGCATTTTGGTTCCCTAAATCTTCGATTTTAGTACCTGTATGTGTTGGCTAACCAATTAAACGTTAAGGATTTGTTTGATTCGTTGCATTTGAATTGGGTTTTGATTCAAGTTGAGTACCTAGCTCCACCTCTTCAGGTCCTTACCAGTGTGTGTATATTGCTCTTCCTTGTTCAGAGCTTGGACAATTTAGTGCTCTGTTTGGATTGTTTATGGATTTGATTAAAGAAGATTAAACCTGTTCCTAAAAGAGACCCACTGGATCTCAAGTCCGGCGATAGGGGATTTTTTTTCCATGGTTCTTGTTCAGATCCCCATGTGCATTGACAAAGAGGTAGATTTTTGTTTTGATCTTCATAATATATATATATATATACATACGCATATATATAGCGAGAGTTCATAGAGAGAGAAGAAAATGAAATAAAATGACATTCGTAAGAAAATTGAAGAAAAAATAAGGGTATTCTAGTCTTTTCAATAATTCCATCACGTCCCGTTACTTTTGCACTTCAGTCAAAACCACAGGGGATTTATGAGTACATTTATTAACGCCAGGGAGGTAATTTAAAAACGCATGAAACCACAGGGGCTAAAATGTAATTATCTCAAAAAATAAGGGGTACTTACGTGTAGGTCCTAATAAGTGGACTTATTGTCTAATGGGTCCTATGAAAAAAATTTGTCATAAAAAAAGTCACTAATTGTAAGTTTTAACGACAATTTATAAAAATTATGACAAAAAAAGTCACTAATTGTCAATTTTTAGCGACATATATAAAAATTGTCATAAAAAAATTATTTTTAGTAACAATTTTACCAAGACTTATTTTCAATAGGACTTGATGAGAATTAAGTCTAATTATTAGGACCTATTGGTAGTTTACCACATCCAAGAACCGCAATTCTCACAACTTTCTTCATACTAAAGCGGTTTGGGTGTGAAAACTTGACTTGTATTAATTTGTACATTCTTTTTAGTTTTTAGGTTTCTATGTGTTTTTTTTTTTCTTTTTGAGTCACTTAATGTGTGCATGTTCGTTTTTTGTCTTGATTAAAGAAAAAAAAATAAAAAAAAATAAAAAAGATTTTCTTAGTATGATTTTGCAATCTTAAAATTTTTGAGTGGTCCTTGGTGCATATTGGAATTGATAAGAATATCCATTACATGTTAATATGTGTGTGCTTTTTGTGGTCATTACTCATTTTGGAGTGTGTGTTTTTTGATTAGTATGTCTCATTTTGTACACACTCTTAGATTAGCAAATATCGGAGTCTTCCACCTTAGTGATTATTTTTTCTGTGGACTTCTGGCATTGTATCTTTTGCTTTTCTAGAGGAATTGACCTATACTAGCATATCATGGGTGATGTTAAGTCTCTTAACCACCTTCCATCTTTTTGCATCTCCATACTTTCCCTCTGTTTCTTTGTAGTCCAGGCATGAGGAAAAGGCTACCTCAGAGTCACCAACCAGCATCCTTATTATATCCATGCTTCTCTGGTTCGTTTCCATACTCTTGAGGTGTCAGCTCCAATGATGTGCAAAAAAGAAAAAAAATGTGCAAAAGAAAGAAAGAAAAAAAAAAAAGATGTGCAAAAGAAAGAAAGAAAAAAATGTGAAAAAAAAGGAAAAAATAAAAGATTCATTGATTGAGGGGAGCCTCCGTCTTTACTCACCAAATACCCCTTATTCCTAGTGGTTTGACTTTCCGTATTGTGTTAAATTCTCTTGAGGAGGTTTAGCTATCTGATCACTATAGGATTTGAATCTAGTGTTTGTCGAACTCCAAGAGTCACACACACACTTTTATCATAGGATCTATGCTTTTCACATAATGCATCACTTTCTTTTATGGGAATCTTCTGAGGTGTGCACATTGTGTTTTCAAGTAATTATGCTTCTTGGATAATCTTGTGTGTTCTAAGGTACAAATCTAAGATTTCTTGCTTGCTCCACATATTATTTTTGTGGTTTTTCTTGTTCATTGTTTTCTTACAGTGTTTGTGGTTGCTTTGAGTGAAAGGGAGATTGGCTTTAGTTGGTTTGATGATTCTATCACTGCTTCTTTATTATTTCCTTCTTGCATGCTCCTGATATTTACTTAATCTTATCATTGCTTGTGTGTTTCTGATCTTGCTTTAGTTGATTGAGCTTCCTTTGTCAATTCGTGACAACAAGGGGGAGTAATGTTGTTCGGTGCATGTGTATTAGGATTTTATTACCGTGTGTGGGTGCATGTGTCTTAGTTTTCAGGTTTTCATGCTACATGTTCTTAAAATCTCCAAGTCGCATTATTCATGTTTTCCATC